ATTCAATATGCCACTCTTTGTTACTGATACAGAAGAACGAAGCTGCTCCAATAGTACCGCCTATATATATACCCAGTTTGCGACGGCCCAACTCCGTCCATGCAACCTGGTCCAAATCCACTGGTCTCTAAGTCTGGATCAAACGGATCCTACAGTTCCGAGTTATTCGGTCATCCAGCCGCACAAGGCCAGTCACTACACCTGGGACCATCCACAAGGGCAAGACGTAGTGACGTAGGTTCGCGAACGAAAAGGGGATCCCTAGACTTACCCAAAAATCCGTTCGCAAGCGCAAAAAATGCGTTCGCAAGGAGACTCTCGCATCGCCAAATACTGCACTCCTCGAAACCTCACCCAAGTTCCCACCTCATGCACCGGAACTGGGAGTTGTCCAGGTTCCCGGCCTGAGATCTTTGGCGAACTGCCGAGGGAGCGACGAGCGAGCGATCCGAGCGTCGGCCGCTCGATGCCATGGTGGCTTCTTGGTGGAACATAGGCCATGGTCCTCTGGCTGGGTCTTCAAATCGAAACACTATAGGCCTACAGTGTCTACAGTCTACAGTCTACATCGCCGGACATATTGCTGGAAACATCCACCGTTGACATGGAGATGTGCACGTGAAAAAAGAAACGACCGAAATGATTAACTCTTGGCACTCCGCTCATCTAAGTTCCGCAATTGACCGAGTCTGACCCGTGCTTTTGAAGGTTTTTATATAGATGCAGCACAAATCGGTGGATTTACCCCGCCTGTTATCGTTGTCCCGTACCAAACATCTGTACATACAGGCTCAGGAACATGAACCAGTCTGCTACTAATGCAAAGACTCAACCGCTCTGTCCAAGCAGCTGCAGCATCCTGTAGCAAGTTGGCCACCCGCGGCCGCCAGCGCCAGAGCCGCGCACGACCTAAGTTGGCCAGGCTAAAAGGCCACAGTCCTCTTGAGTCAGTTCACAGCAAATGGCAACAGTCGCCCACATACAACCTTTCTTGGGCATGCATGTAAGTCATCAACAAAACCTGGCTCCCCACTCTGTCCTCTCCCAACCCATCGGATGTCTGTGAGTCTCCCCCCATCGGCTCGAAGCCAACCACGACCGCAGTGTTTTGCGCCATGCCGGTCTGCCGGTCTGCCGCTTTGGCCGTGGCGCATATCGCCCATGAGTCATGGACAGGTGAAAACGAGCTGGGAATCCGCAGGGTGTCACCCCCAACGCTTCAAATCTCGTGATTCTTGGGCAGCCAATGTATGTGTTTCTACTGAATTTGTTGTATCCTTCGAGTGGTATGAATAGAGGGGCATCTACAGTACATCCATGTCACGTCCGTTGGTCGGGGGCCACCCTTTGAGAAGCCGCTTCTAAGACTCGGGAAACCCCAAATGGGAAGGTGCCTTGATACACAGCTGGGGCCCGGCATCAGTCATCAGTTGCACAAGGTGTACTTCTTGCAGATCACCAGACCTTTAAACTGGGGACTAACCCCAGCCTAGCAAAGGACTTCTGTTTTCCAAACAGCATACCGGTACGCAATGGTACACAGGGCTCACTTCTTCTGGATCTCAGGAGCCCTGCTAGCCCCTGCGATTGGCACCAACGATCTCACTTCAAACTGCCACACTTGAAAACGCCCCGTGCGAAAGATGATCGCACATGGGCAGGTGGGGTGCTTGCCTTTTCGATGTAGGAAAGCTGCAGCTCAAGCTCACCCCAAATGACAACCTATGACAACCATCAAAGGATCTGGAAAAGGATCTGGAGTATTTGGTTGATGACCACATGTTCGAGCTGCAGCGGACTGCGCACTGGTCACACTGGTGTCTTGACCCATCGGCATCCGGCCTAGTGTCCGTCGCTTCTGGACAGATCCCGATCTCCCAGAAAACTGACACATTCGGCCTCCCAAAGATGAAGAATCATCACCTCACCTCAAAACAATTAGTATAGAGCCTGGCAATCGAGCTTCACATTTGATGATCAATATTGATCTAAGATCTGTATAGATACATTGTGGAAGAAAACAACAAAAGAAAAAAAACTCTGGGCCATGACCAGGTGAACATCAGTTGAAACCGTCGCCGTCTTCGGTGTCTCTTCGGAACCTTGCACGGTAGATCACGGTAGCTGTTCGAAAAGCACCGCAGCTGTTCGATACAGCGAATCGTTGATGGCGGCCCCATGATAGACTTACCAGGTGGGCATCTTTACCCCTCCTTCCGAATTAAAGGCTCGAAGAGTCTACGCATTATGGGGGCGGTGAAGATGGAAGTTTCCAACATTTGGCAACCCCAAAAAAACATGCTTCAATCTTCCAAGTGTGGATGAGCCAAAAAGATCAGCCAACATCAGCCAACTAACTAGTTACGACATAGAATAAAATGTGAAACGAAGAGCCAGACAATCTGAATCTCAGTGTCCACCAACTCCGTTCAACTCTTAACCAACCTCATCTATCTGGGTGATCTGAGATCTTGCATTCTCATGCATTCTCATCCCCCTTACCCATACACCGTACCCATCCTCCCCCTCCTCACCTCAGAGGCTGACAATCTTCCGCTCGTATTTGGGCGGTGCAAGTCCGGTACCGCAGCTGGCGATCGGAGGGCCCGGCTCAACGAGGCCCGACTCACCTCGAAACGGCTCAAGGCTCAACGGTCGAAAGGCTCGACAGGTTTCGGGGTGCCCACGCGGCCGCGGCCAGGGCCGACAACACCCATGCAACAGTACATGAGATCTGGAAACATATTGCATAAGGAGACCCCACATCACCCTACCAATCCTTTCACTATTCAATCATTTGTGGCTAGTCTATGTTCTTTCTGGTCCTTTTCGATCTGCTACTCCTCTCCCAACGTTCACCCGGCCGCGGTGCTGAGCTCTCCGTCCACCACCGGCGTCCGGCTGCCGCCGCTCATCACCTCCGCAGCCGTTGTCTGGGCGTCCTCGGCGTGTTCCGCCGCATCAGGGGAGTCCTGGTGTTGCGATGGTAGGAAGGAGCAAACAGTCTTCCAAGACAGCACCAAGCCAGCCAGGGCCAGCTTGGTGGGTTAGAGCATAGGTGGACTTTGGAAGTGGTGAAAGGCTGTCTATATATATATATAGTTATATAATATAATTCATTCTAATGAATGGTGTGTTGGAAAATGAAGAAAATGTATACTGTCACCACATGTCAAGACTGCACTCACTCTGAGGACCTTGCCCTGGTTGTCTAACACTACAAACTTTCCACTCCAAACATGCACCAATTGCTCAATAGCTCATCCCAAAAGAGAAGAAGTCTCCATCTCCCAAGCTCATGTGAAGTCGCCATGCTCATCCCTCTATGAACCCAGACTCTTACTACAGTAAGTTTGTGTTGATTCATAATGGCTAAACATCACTGCATGCAGAAAGCCGCTTTGTGAAATCATGATCACAGCTGCTTTGTGAAAGCATGTCAGGCAAACAGCTAGGTGAGAACTCCGCTTTGCCCATCTGCATTGATATGCTTAAACCCACCCGAAAGGAAAACGGTTCCCCGAGTTGCATAGAACATGTACTTCCGAATGTTATTCTAACATCTTCTAACAAAATAGTCTTTGAACTCCCTTGAAAACAAAAAAGGAACTGTTCTGCCGAGCCCTGCACCCTGGTCCTTCTTGGAGTTCCCCTTTTTCGCCTTGCTTTTCTCATCATCAATCTTGCTGGGCAACCTATCAAGACTCTTGCTCTTGCTGGCTGGCATCTTCTCAGTGCCCTTGCTAGAAGGCATGCTGGCACTCTTGACCTTCATGGTTTTGTGTCTGCTTCCTCTGGACTCAAAGGATGTTGTCACCTCTGCTTTAGCGGTGCTTTCCTCAACTTCCGGAGGTGCTGCTTTAGCATCGGAAGGTTGAGCTTTGGTTGCTGGAGATCCGTTGGAAGCCTTGGCTTTCGGGGGTGCAGCTACTTTTGCAGCGGCTTCGGCTTTGGGTACGGCCTTCGGAGCAGCGTTGGGAGGGACAGCTTCTCCTTTCAGGGCAGCTTTGGCTTTGGGAGGTGCGGCTTCTGATTGCGGGACAGCTTCAGCTTTGGGAGGTGCGGCTTCTGCTTTTGGTGCAGGGTCAGGCTTGGGAGCATCACGCAGCTGGTTCATGACAAATCTCATGTGCTCCTCTGAAGCATCGTGGCGCTGAAGCATCAATCAAAGTGCACCAAAAAAGCAGAAACTCTTCTTTTTGTGTTGGGGCGGTAGTTCACGATTCACAACGAGCAAACAAATAATGAAAAAACCGCCCACTCCCACTATCTCCCACCCTTCCATCTGCACTCATGTGCGCTCAGCTCCTTGTTCAAGCTTGTGCCGGTATCCTGTGCCAGATCAAAGGCCTTTTTGGCCTCGTCGGTCTTCCCAAGCTTCAGCAGCGCCACCGCCACAGAGAGATGCGCTGGCCCGGAGCCTGCGTGTGCAATTCGGAGCCGGGCGGCGGCCTGTGTGCGCGTCCACCGAACGTCACCGGACCAGGTCCACCATGATTGGTGTCCAAACCCTCAAACCCACTGGGGTGTCTTCACCAAATTCTTCCGAACTTGCCCAAATCATTCAATTCGGGGCTTCAACGTGTCGAAATACGCCCTGGCGCAATTGCTGCTGCTATGGCACTTCAAAACCTCAGGCATACATGCCACAATACTGGTGCAAAGAAACTTCTGTCCTAAGTGCTGATGCCCCGACATGCCAAACCCTCAAAACCGTCCTCAAGTCCATCCTTCTTCCCTTCTTCCACCTTCCCCCTCTTCCCTCCCTTCCCGCCTGCCCACAGCTCGCAAGCTTTCCGCGCGTCCGTCAGCGCAGCCTCCAAGTCCTCCTTGGCCAAAAGCTCCTCCGCGCGGAGCGCCAGCAGAGAGCTCGCCAGGTGCGGCTCTTGTCTCCAGTCGTTGCCGATCGCCTCGCTGAAACAGCGGACTGAAATTGTGGAGTGGATTCCAGGATCATATGTGATGCTCTCACGTCCACCCTAGAAACAGTCGCAAACAGTCCTCCAATATAGACCGACTGCATAGTAGACGTTTAAAATCTTTCAAGGTGTGTGTGTGTGTGTGTGTGTTTTCGCCTCCAAACAATCCCAATGGACGGCACACCATACTGTAGCAAACCAATGGCACAATCTCTCAATGCACGCACAATGCACGGTCGTCTGGCCACGCGTGGAAAGGGCGCGAAGACGCGGCCTTGAAGCCCTTCTCCACCTTGGCTAAGCGCTCCTCAGACGTCTTCGCGCGCCGGGCGTCGTACTTGATCTCTGCCACGGTTAAGTCCAGCTTGCGAAGCTTGGCGCCGTGCTTCTCCAGAAGGGTCCTGGAAAGCCCGGAACAGGGTAGGGCACGCAGAAGCCGAACAGTTCGATACTTTCTTTTTGAGGGGTCGAAGGAATCCCTGGCCCGTCTTGCCCAAGACTCTGAAGCCTTCAAAACCGGCTTTCCTGGGATGAGGGCCCGTGTCTCCACCATCCGGTCCCACTCCTGGCGGCCTTGAAGGTCTTCACCCCTTCGACCACCTGGAAGCTCAAAAAGCCAGCGCCGGTGTCTTGGAGATATGACCCTCAGCCAGTGTTTCCTTTTCTTTGAAGTGACAGGGATGTCCATTGCCCACTCCACTCCCGGTGGTCGCAGCACTGGATGGAGTGATTCAGTGATGCTTCAAGGCTTGCAGACGGATTCCAGCCTCCTCTCACAACCAAGAAAGGATAAAGAAAGGACAAACACAAACGTATGGATCGATCACCCGGTCGCTTCGAAAAAAAAATAGAGGAACGAACAACAAAAGAATCATGAGTTTTTGGAAATCGCAATCATGAGTTGCCTCAGGATGGGTTTTCTCCATTCTTCTAGTCCCTTGTTGGATTGCCCTTCTCCACTCTTCCCACCTTCTGATCACTCTTCACCTGCACCTTCACGTTGGGCCCCTTGCCGCACAAATCCAGACATCCAGTGCTCACAGCCTGGCACCCACTGTACGGTGTGGCACACAGCTCCTGCCAAAGCGGTCGGACGAACGGCGAAAACGAGAGGAACTGACCCAAGTGGGTGGGCAATGGCCAATATATAGATTTATAGGCAGGCATCCATTGGCTGCAATGATACTGCAACGGTGCAAATGAAGGGATACGGGATACTTAACAACGATTTATACTAAATTTACTAAATTGAATTCATGAGGACGCAAACATCTGATTGACTTTATACAATTATATACATCAGGTTGGGCAAAGGGCTGTGACCAAAAGGACAACCTTCGCCAACACAAAACCAAACTTCACCAATCCAGTGGGTCAGGGGTGATTTGCCACGAAGTTCATTCAGAAGTTCATGCTCAGCTCTTGGGTGAGACCATCAACAACGACATACAACAGGACCCTCAAATTGCACCGATCCCAATCTTGGCGTTCGTTTCATCCCAGTCCAAAAGGTTCCAGTAACCAGTATGTCCTAGGTTGGAGGCCATCGCTTCTGGGTTGGCCTCCTAGTTAAGAATCGACACGACTGGTCACGAATACAGACACGGACAATGGACCTCTTTCTCCCGACTGGTCGGTCTGAAAAACGATCGGTCACATCATGTCCGATCGGTCACATCCGCACACGATGCAAAATGTTGGTCAAACAAAACAGATCTGCACCTCTATGATGCAATTAAACGTATATAACTTAAATATGTTCCTTCTCTGGGAGGGCCCCATTTTTTGTAGTGGAGTTCAACAAATACCTCGCAAAAATGGAATCTACAGTATCATGAAATGTCCCCATTTAACAGAATTGGAACGGGGCTCAAACCGTCTCAAAAAAAAGAACCCAATCAGAGATCTCAAGCCAATCCGAACGACTCGAAGGGTCTCAGAAATCATCAACAAATGCAAAAAGAAGTGGTGCATTTGTTTGACATTCTGGCTATCTTTGGTCGGTCAGCCCACCGCCATTTCAAAGTCGTCAGCCTGGCAGCATCCTAACCATTTCCAAGGGTGTGGAGTTATTGCAATACAGTACCATGTCCAAAACCAGAAATCCTGACCAGAATTCATGATCAAACGGTCAAAAAATCCTCATGATGCTTGTGCTTTTACCCCTGAAATCCTGATCGATTCCCAAAAGAATTGTGAGTCGTCGAAGAACTCTCCTCCAAGTCCCGCAGGAGCTTGTCAGAGCCCCCGCTCGAGCGGCAGCTGGTACTCTGACAAACGAAAAGCTTCGCCATGCGGGGGTCCCCGGTGAACGTTAGGTCGCAGTGGACAGGTCGAGTATCACAATCATCTGTATCGACCTATTGGGGGGATTGTCCGGTCGATTGTCTGCGGTGCATGGCGCCCCAAGAAAAGCCGCCCCGGAATGGGACAGGTGTGGTGGCGATGAATGGCTTGAATGGGACGGGGTGTTGTTTTTTTTCTGGGTGGTGGAGGGCCCTGACGGGGCATGACGGGGATCATCACAAGAATCAGCCATCCTAGACCAAGAACAAGACCTTGCTTGATGATTTCTTCATTTTCGGGCTTGGACGGACCCTTGGCCTTTGAGCCACAGGCCACGGTGCGGCCCTATGCCTGTTTGGAGCGACTGACGGTGCCCGTGCGGCCCTATGTGGTCTCTTTCTTCCTCACGACCGAAAGTGGAAGCAGAGGGAGTCCATGTGACCCCCCGGCGATAAAGAATATGCACGAACACACAAGCTGCGAAGCTACTAGGAACAAGTGTATCGCTACTAGTAACAAGTGCCTTGCTAGTAGTAACAAGAAGCTAGTAGAAACAAGTGCCACGCTACTAGGAACAAGTGACAAGCTGCGAGATTTTATGTCACCTTCGCTCTGCGTTCACGACTTCAAGACAGCCAGGGGTATCACTGCGTCATCCCCTCAATTGTGTGTCGGCCAAAAGGTTTGTGTTCACGAAGATACAAGGATTCGACAAGGTGATTGCTTTTCAAGGTGGCCTCTCGCGCTTGATCCCCGCAGCGACACAGCTATATATATTATATATATGCTGTACAACTACATCCAAGAAAAAACTGTGGCGACATGGTCGTCGCTCGAGAGCGGGGGAGTCCCATGGCTTTTTCCGGTCTAAAGCCTGGCCTCCTGGCCGAATTCCTACCAAATTGGTCCTCGCACCTTGGGATCAGCCCCGAGGCCTAAGGCCCCCCCACGGGGGCTGCGATCTCCTGCGTCCCAGGTGGGCCGAGGAGCGAATCCGTCCAAACGAGCGACCCAGCTCGGGTGGGGATGAAGATTCGCCGGATTCAGACCAAAGGGTTAGAGCCGGATTCGGAAACTAATCGGTCGGATTCTGAAACTAGGGTTCTGAAACTGGGGTTCTGAAACTAGGGTTCTGAAACTTGGATTCTGAAACTGGTATTCTGAAACTGGGGTTCTGAAACTGGGATTCTGAAACTGGGGTTCTGAAACTAGGATTCTGAAACTGGGATTCTGAAACTTGTATTCTGAAACTGGAAAGTCAGATTCTGCAACTGGTATTCTGAAACCGGAAAGTCAGATTCTGCAACTTGCCTTCTGAAACTTGCAACTGGTGATCTCCACATCATGCGACAGCGTGTGTGCCTGTGACATCACCTTCGAAGCACATCCAAACCAACGTCATTAGCCCCCCACCCAACCCCCCCACCCCCCAACCCCCCCTTGTCCCCATCGTGTGATCTCGACATCACGCCAACCCCCTCATCATTCACAAAGTTGCGGAATCCTAGTGAGGGAGTCCACAATGTTGCGGAATCCTAGTTGCGGAACGCCAGTTGCGGAATCCCAGTTGCAGAATCCTAGTTGCGGAATCCTAGTTGCGGAATCTTGACAGTTGCGGAATCCTAGTTTCGGAATCCTAGTTGCGAAATCCTAGTTGCGGAATCCTAGTTGCGGAATCCTAGTTGCGGAATCCTAGTTTCGGAATCCTAGTTGCGGAATCCCAGTTGCGGAATCCGACCAAACAGTTGCGGAATCCTAGTTGCGGAATCCTGCGCAGTTGCGGAACTCGACTTTATCCCAGACGAAAGTGCTGCTAACTGACCCCTTTCAACAGACCATTCACGTAATCATCTGATGCTAAGATACGAAAAAAGTGACCCCTTCTTCGGTCACGGGGGGTCAAGTGGGTTTGGAGGTCTTCACCCGCAGGCGAGCTACTCTTGGCTTTTAGGACAGCGGAGATGGACGACTTCGTCATGACTCGTCACCGCGCTCGGGCTGCCTGCAAAGGATGCACCGAGGCCCTCAGCCTGATCGGTTCCATAGGCAGATGTTTCACGGCGAAGGCAAAGGTGCATCCAGTGCAACCAGTTCTTCTTTTTTGATGTATGTTAATGTCATTATTCTTGGTATATCCTTGGATCTTTCTTGCAAAATGCTTAGGGATTTTGATACTAGGATCGTGAGTGGAATGACACAACTCATTATATATGATCTTCGCGATGTTCCACTTAGCACTTCTTACACTGGACCAACCAACCACCTGAAAAAAAGGCCGGGCGATGACGGCACCTACACGCCATATGACCAGACTTTTCCTGGGCGAGTGATTCCCAGGTGTTTACATGTGTTGAAATCCATTTACAAAGAAAATATAAAATAACAATAAAGCTTTTTCGTAGTAATCCCCAAAAAGCTTTCACCCTCCTGCCACAAAAAAGGTGCCCGCCTCCAGGGAGCCGGAGCCTAGCGAGGTTCGAGTGTCGCGATGCTCCGGAGCCTAGCGTCCGATCGCTCCTAGTAGTCCGAGAAGCTCCCTTCTTTTCATCCCCCGAAGTCGTCGGGTGAAGGTTCTTTTTGGGGGTTGATGAAAATAGTTTGAGTGAAGGGGGTGAAAAGGTCGAGTTAAGGTTCTTTCGGAGAACCCCCTTTTCAGACCTTTTGACTTTTGACCCTTTCTATCCAGATGTTTGGGGTGGGTTCATGATGGAAAAGGGTAGCTCACCGGTACCGATGTTTGGTCATCATACCTATGCGTTTGGACTTGATCTATGCTTTTCTGTTGAAGTGGGTCTTAGAGGTTCAGAGACTTCCATCATCTCGGATCTTCACAGGCGTTGAGTCCTCCTCACTCACCACACTACTCATGCGTTCCAGAAAAGCATTGAATCTGGCACCCAGTGGTGAATTGGGCTCCATCCCAAACCACCCCCTTTGAAATCTTCAGAACCCCTGAGGCCCGGGAACATTCCTTGTGGGGGGGGCACCGGACCCCTTGAGGCCCTCACTTCCCACCACCTTCCTGCCACTGGTGACACTTGTCTAACCTGTCACCAATCACCCGTGCTGACCAGCCACGCGCACGCGAGCGGGCGCGCAGATCCCGCCGGCGCTCCACCTGTCTGTTCGGCAAGAGAGCGGCAAAGCGGTCGAGGGGTGGGCCGGAGTGGGTGACCATGTACCAGGACCAAACAGGACTTGGTGAATTAGCTAATCATATTGGGGTTTGATGGTGGTTCTATAGACTCTAGACTTGGCCCTGTCTTTCTGTGAACAGGACCCTGGATTTGCATTGATTTTAGCATGTGAAAGTGACGTTGCGCAAATGGCTGCTTTTGTTGGTATTCACGGTATGTTTTGATGAGTCATGTCGCCCTGACACTGGGAATTAGGGTCACAAACGCTTGTTTCTCCGCAATTTGACGAGTGCCATCCCACACACACATCAGGTAGCTCATGACTTGGAAATGCAACAAAAGAAAAACACGGAGACTTTACGGTAATACCATGTAATACCACTGCATAATAAATGCACACTGCGGTCCAACTCGAGCGCTGGGAATGCGACAGGTCATCCGGTTGCCACATCCTTTCAATCTGAGCCTGTTCAGAACCCAGCAAAATCTTCGTCTGCCACGGTCCAACCCTTGGCACATCCCTTCGATGGCAACTCAACACGGCTCGACGAACCACCACACGCGGGTGGTTCGACGAGCAGGGCACCGACGGACCCTTTGTCCGTTTGTCACGACGAAGCCTTCACACGACGAGAAGCGTCAGCGACCCCCCAGACCTCGCGCTGCTTTTTCATCACCTGGCGCGAGGTGTTTTGGTCACCGGCTTTTTCCTACCGATCTTCGTTTTCGTCCCGATACCAAGACTTCAAGATACAAAGCCCCTCCACCCAATATCAATCCACCCATATGGTGTCCTCAAAGAACGGAGGGGAGTCGTCTACCTCAACTAGTGGTCACTGGGCGAGCCACCAACAGTTCCCACCCCTTCAATCACGTGGATCTCCTGCACTCGTGCGGCACGACTCCAGTCCTTGGGGAGTCGTGCCCCATGTGACTTCGGAGCAGTGGAAGTCTTGTCAGACTGCACTAGGACCCCCAACGAAAGCCCGGAAGGCACATTCTCAGAAAGCCCGCTTGAACCGTATCCCGATGCGTTCCGAGCCGCCCATGAACACTGGGGCAACATTCGGAGTGAAGGCCTGATTCTGGGAACAACCAAAAAAACGGGAAGCATCATGATTGGGAGATCGTGACCCCCCAATGCCAAAAAATCCGAAGAGATCTGATCAACCTTCAAAAAAAAGAAAAACCAAGGGCTGCCTGCAAAATGTTGGGATGAGGCTTTGTACCTCCCGTATCCTCCCGTCTAAACCGCGGTCCCGCGGTGCCTCCGACCACTGCCGCAGGCGCGACACACTGCGGCCGGTAAGAGCCTGGGCGGTGAGAGCCAAAGAGGTGGGTGGGAGATCTCTGGATACCCTCTGACTCACGAGCCAAAGAAGTGCAAAAGGGACTATATATATATATCATAATATATTATATATATATATACGCTAGAGGAATAGAGGAACATATAGTCTTTTCCAGGGGCAAAGCTTTCATGTCCATATTGGTACACTGTCACGGTTCTCAGCCTAACATCGGGTGCACCGGCAGTGTATCATGAGTTTACTGGGGAAAGACACCAAAACCTTGAAAAAGGCAGCACGTCAAAAGAATTTCAGGTCCCAGGTCTGCAGTGAAGCAATTCCAGGTGTTTTGCTGGATTGCCTCCTTGAACCATGTGGCTATGTTTGAAAAGAAATCTAGCACCTTGCCATTTGGAAGCTGAGCAAAAAGGAACTCCCGGTCCCGACCACCCCCAAATAATCAAAAAATATTCGCGCACGCCCGTTCGAAGTCATTTGCCGAGGCACCACGGATTCCAGCCTCAAGCTGGGGCCTGACAAACGGTCGAAGGGGCAACTCTCCAGAATTTGGAGCGAGGGGGGTCGGACGGTGCTTCTTTTGCAGCTCAGAATGTGTCTGCCTG